ACGCATGATTACTACATCTCTCACGTTGCAAACTAAAAGAACCGAGAACCAAACATCAGTAAGCGGAGGGGCAACATAATTCCCATAAATGACTATTTTTGGGCACTATAGCTAAGGCATAAGTGCGAGTAATTTTAACTTCAGTCAAAATACTTCTACTTACAAGTTCGTAGAGATAGAAATTATGCCCAAAAAAGAACCTAACATAGAGGCCATATTTTAGCTTAATATTAAGTAAGCTAGCTTAGAGAGCTTAGAGGTGCGTTTTTTGTAGTTTTGAACCAATTGAACAATTTCACATCCTGATCAAAGGTCTATCAGGGTCCTAATTTAGTATGCAGTTACCAACTTCAGACAAACGATTCAACTTTCAATACAACAACTTCTGAAGATATCATTCAAAGATATATTTACGAAGATTTGACAAATATAAGAAACTTTCTTGGATGGTAGCCCATTTTAGCAACATGCTAATTGGGGAGGCAAACAGGGAAATGAGCTCGTGGTGGCTAACAATTAAAACAGCATCACGTGCTCCTATCAGGCGCTAAAATAGTCCTTTCATACTACCGGGAGAGTTTTCAAAGCTTCAAGACAAACAAAACAATTAAGGTAAGTAGCTAAAACTTGTATACACTTTGTCAGGCGGTTTTCTGCGCGAATCGATCACGTTCAGATAGGCTGGGAGATCAATGTGTACAAGAGAAAGAGATATAGAGAGAAAGAAGCAAGCAGCACGCATGTTAGAAAGCTAGAAATAGTGCGCTTACAAGTAATCACCACTTTCTCTGGCAACGACAGCGAGGAAGGTCACGGAGCACTCTTTCTAACATACGTGTTGCACACTTCTCTCTCGTACATATTGAAACTCGCCGATTTCAATGGTAAATGATTTGTACGGTATATGCATTAACTTGTAAAGTTATTTTTGTCCTGCTTCTGTTTCAAATGAGCGTCGAACGAGCACCAGAGGAGATGGACAGAGTAGTAAGAAATATTCTAATTTATTCTTTTAGGCCTCAAGAAAAGCAGAAGTACTAAGACTAAGTAGTTAGGAACCCTGAAAGGTGGTTGGATTTCTCACTGCCCAATGATTATTTCAGTACCCACCTACAAAAAATTACATGTACATGAATCCCTCAGTAGAAAGTGCGAAGTGTCATAAATGAACTGCATAGTATATTACTTTCGACGGACTGAAATATCACCTTCTCGACAGGATAAGAGGAAAGGGGGTATATTCAACGGATGACCAAAATCTTAAATAACTTGAAACAAGACCTGATTTCTCTGAGCGCGGATACATAATAACCCTCTAGCTAAGCGACACCTACTGCAATTAAAAACATCCCACATCTCTATACATTACATGAAATTTGATTCTCACAGCCGTCGAATAATAAAATACCGAAGCGTGCAAAGGTTAACTTAGATATACATGCTGTATATTAATAGTCTATTCGTCTAGAACTGCGTGGCAAATACAGAGTCAATGTACTGCACGCCATTTATCATTACAGATTATATTAAGGAGTCAGTGTCACTATAAAGTATTAGATAAGGGAATCAGTATTATTATAAGGTATCAACACTGCTGCTACTGCTCCATTCAGTATCGCTTCAGTTGTATTTTGAAATACAGTAGTGTTGATTAGGCTGCACATGCATTGCAAAACTTTTTATGCTTCCAAGAGTTTGAGAATACTGAGCTGAATTGGAAAACGGTTCGACTTTGCACTAAGTTATATGTAACCTAATGTATGCCAAATGGGCTATAATCTCACCCCTTGGAAGGTTTTAACCTTCCTTTCAAACAGCCTAGATTAGCTATAAATTATGTACAAAGATGTGTGTATAAGAATGTGAATTTAGATACCGAATACTGGAACATCCAATGCAAATTCCCTGCTGATGCACGTTTCCTAACAAACAGTAGGAAGTATAAAACTTCGATGATTGTGATATTCCAGAACTTGTTGACTTAATCCAATTCGAGGTTAAGCTGACATTAGAGCTGAGATTGTTCGATTCTAAATTAAAGCTGAGTTATGCTGGGGACGTCATTTTGGAGATCAAGGTGAGCATTAGAGTAATCCGAAGCAAATACTGTAGGACGTTAACGCGTGTCATTTAGACCGACATTGTTAAGAGCCTCTGCTGGCACTGCTTGCCTACTATAAGCACACACTGACCAAAGATCTTGGACATAAGAACTAGAGCTGGTACGATATTCAGCGCAATGCGGAGTCTGTGATAGAATATACAGTCACTCTATAAATATGGAAAAAGTGCACCAGACTATCAACTTTTACGTCGCGCTCAATGGTTGACCAACGCAGACGTTTCAATAATTATTTGATTAATTTGAACTTCATGAATTCCATTTATCTGCTAGTATAATGTTAACGGATCGCTAAAAGTGTAATAGTATTAGCGTTCATGTAACAGGCCACATAGCGATACCGCACCGACAAGCGTGAAAGGGGGGATCCTGTATTACGTAACTTAAGAAGTGTGATTATATCGACACTTTATTTTTTATCATCCTGTAAAATATCAACTTTGAACTAGCTAAATCCACTTCAGGCTCATTTGTAGTAGGCGTGGATACCTAGTGCACAAGTTGACAGTTTACCTATTTTTTGGAATTGTATATTGTATAATTTTTTACGTGATAACCCTGCGATCTGTTGATGCGTACCACTAACAAACGTCACCGCTTCTATTTTGTGAATGAGTTCTTAATATTATAAAAATATGTAGATAAAATAATCTTAATTTCCGAAAATGGGGCAAAAATACAAGGAGATATTCTTTGGACTATTTTGTCCTTTGACGAAATAGCGCTTTATTCCAGGTCTTTGAAAGACGCTACTGCAAACCGCTATTTGTTAAATAACCTCTAAGCAACACCGCCCAATCCAATAAAATTTAGTGGACATAGTAAATAGTCAAGACGGCACATCCATGGAAAACAAATAACTAACTAATGCAATGTTGCGTTAAATCCAGTATAATAATGGCTAAGGAGAAGTATTTTTGAACAGCCCGATCTTTTATCAGAAAAAATGTACTTTTCTTCTTCTTTTGATAACACGAACCGATTTTGAGAAAGCAGCCTTGTTTCAATATTGCTCTCATAAACTTATAGTGCATTAAGCATCACAAGTTTGGACTAAAGCCTAAAATCTGATAAATCAATGAAACAATTTATATTTGGAGGCTTAGAGTCGTTTATTGAGAATCTGTTATCAAATTTACTATATTTTCAAAATTTTAAATCAGATTCAGTACACAATCAGTGATCGTATAGAATATAAAAAGTCAATGTAACAAGAAAGGTAAAATACACCATCGACACGTCTTAATATTCATGTAGACCATGTAAAAAATGTAGATAATGTATACAATAGCTAATATTAGTTCAAGTAGCTCTCTCGTATATACAATAGCGGTAAAATTTTTATATTTAAGGCCATTACCGCTCATCAAATCAAATCATAAGGAGTATTGCGCATGCATAAGCTTTTCAGACTATGAAATATGACTATCCAGAATTAGCATATAAATTAATGAGCAGCTCGAAGATACTCTTTCTAGCTATGCTGATGAAGTCGGAATTACTCCAGCCCAAGTGTGGCTAAAGTGAGTGTGATCTAATTCAGCTGCATTCCATAATGCAAGAAGTCTTATTACGCTCTAAAATATTAGTATAGGGCGTCGATAGCCGCATATCACGATACGTCAGAACTTACCTTACTTATACCGGGGTAATTTCAGGCGACTTAAATTAGATAAAGTTTTTTACGACTAAATAATCCATAGCTCACCAGCTTTCTTATCTTTAGCGCGTCAACCATATTGTTTTTATAGTTGACAATTCACTAATATTTTGACGTTTGCGAATACATTGTACAGGTATACGTATTGCTCTCATTGTATATGCACTGTGTACATTAAGGGCCCATAACTAATCACAGTCAATAAAGCTGTATTGGAGCAAGAGTGATTTTCTCAAAGAAATTCAATATATCGGAAACAAACAAGCATACATTGCTTCTGATGAAAGATCAAACTTTCCTACAATATTAGTTGTAGACCGTTATTATATGGACGCCACCATGAGAGGCCCTAAAATACCATGGTGTCAAAATTTTATTGTACGCTGACCACAGGACCTTCAAAAGAAAAGAAAAATGATGATGTCCCATATCTCTGAAACGAAGCGGTATCTTGCAAATCGTCAAAGGGCATAATATTCTTAGAATAGTAAGAAGAAACACCTCTCCAAAATTTGTCATATGTTTTAGAAACCCTCTGTATAATTTATGGCTAATGGAGATTTTTGTCAAATTGTTGAATTGAATTAATTGCCCTTTTTATCGACTTTTTGCATCTAGCGTGCCGTAACATAGCTATTTACTAAAATTATGTCACGTTTGCAAAATCTAGTGGATTTTTCCTTGAGCTCTATGGCTAATGGCCGTCATCTCATCAAACCTCCGATCCAGGGATCGTGCGGAGACATAATTGAACATCCATTTAAAATTTAAGAGCCTCAGGGGAAAACCGACATGAATACTGAACGCTTGCGGTCTCATGAAGCTATGTGACATGAGGCATGGCCTCTCTATTAACGTCCTCTACGTTGAAGGACAGAGAAGCTTCTAGCATAGACTCTTAGTGGGGCATTTAAGGAGACTGATTGCTCCTTGGATATATTCGAAGTAGAAGAAAAAAGAAAAGTCCATGCAGAATGCAATCAACAATCATCTACATGAAGTACACGAGAATAGGGGTAATCCGGAAAGCAAGAAGTAGATGGCGCTAGTTAGGTTCGAGGCCATTTCACGTCAAAACATGATAAGGTCGTGGAAATAGGTTATCTTCCTATGAAGTCTGTCATTTACCCATCTACTTTTGACAGTCCTATCTCCAGCCACACAAGCACCGCGTCGCGAGGGCATAGTCGAATCTCACTGCCACTGGCTCGATAAGTTCGATAAGACTGGTTCTTGAGTATGTACTTTCCAGTATTTTGAAACACACTTCCCGAAAATTTGTTGTAGCAAGATTTTGATTTTGATTTCGAATGGAACTGCCAGGTAATTGTAGCATAACAACTGATCAACTTACAAAACGCACAATAGAAATCCACGACTTTCATAAACGCCTTAGGTATTTATATGCAAAACGCAACCGTGCAAAGCATTTTTCGCTATAACTACACCAATTCAGGAAAATTAATGAAATGCTGTCCCAACAAGAACGCGATAAGTATACTAAAATTTGAATAAGAACTATTAGGCAATATATCAATTTGCCTGAAGCGATGCTATCGAAACGTGAAAACAAAAGCGCGTTGACCTAGTTTAATCGAATCGTATTATGAAGAATTGCTGCCATTTTGAAATTCAATTGCAGTGTGTGGTCAGAAAACACGCAGTATGCAGGATGTTCTTAAAGCTAGAACTCACCTTTCGTTCAGTTTTTGTAGAGCAGACTCGACGCGCGTCAGTGTCGTAGTGTCTGTTTACAAATCGGATTTGAAAAGTCCGAGTATTGCACACTCCTATTGCAGAAAGAACATATTGTTTTGGTAGAGGAAATTTCCCTAAATCAAACTTATTCCTGAAGGCGGACCATAGGTCTTATGTATATATTATAAAACATCAACATAACCTATGTTCTATTATTATCAAAGGACGTTTTTAATTTTAGTTTGTAACTTCATATTTTCAACTGTTAGGTATGTACTGAGTCTCATGCAATAATTTAGACAACATGACGAAGAGTAAATGGGCACGGGATTATTATATCAACTGTTTATTTTTCAAGAACTGTTACTACTTTTATTACTCTGATTTCAGCAAATGGCTTTTTAGTGTTTCTATAGATTCACCTAAAAGTAATAAACCAAAACGTTATCATCCCTTGTTTTGCTGACATTTTATTAATTTGTCTGAATTGGTGTCGTCATACCGACAAATGCCTTGTACGGTCTGGATTTATGGGCTTTCCATAAAATACATAGGAAGTTTGTAGTAATACTGAATTTCCACTTTAGGTAAACTTTTCTTCGAAAGAACCGCTTGAGCGTTCCAATACTGTAAGGAAGAAGACAAACAGGGTGTTCATTGAAAATTTACCACCACGGACTTAGCGAAAACCACTGATTAAATTAAAAAAACTAGTACTAAACTTCGTAAATGTTATCCATTCAAAATGAAAATATTTCAAGAGTTAACCGAAGATGATATCGATTGGCGAATTGAGTTTTGTGAACAACTGACTGCAGCGATTAATCATAATACCATTCATATAAAGAATATCTGCTTAAGTGATGAATGCACATTTTATCTAAATAAACTTGTTAATAAGCATAACTACAGGTATTTGAGCCATAAAAATCCTCAAGGTTTTGTAGAAAGGCATACGCAGTACCCCAAAAAATTAATGAATGGGCAGGCATTATAGGGAACAAAGTGATTGGGTAATTGTTTATTAACGGAAATTTTAATACAGTCATTCATTTGGATATGTTGGAAAATATCATCAATCCGCTTATCACTGAAGCCATTGAAAGCAAAATTGAAGAGGATGGAAGCCCTATACTTGATGAGGCTGAAATATATTTCAGTTTCCAGATAGGGAATAGAGGGCCTATAGAATGGCCTGCTAGATCTCCCAATTTGACGCCATTAGACTTTTTCTATGGGGTCATTTGAAATAAAGTTTGGATGAACTTCGTCAACGCATCATCGAAAGCTGCCATGATATTCCACAACACGTTGCAAAGGTTCGTCAGGAATTTGAACATCGCCTGCATTATTGTTCTGCCAATAACGGGCAACACTATCGAAACTAAAAGTGATATTTTCGTATGTTTTGTAGTCTATCTGAACAAACGAATATGAATAAAGATTTTTCTAATTTTCTTGGAAACAAATCGACCGATTTCAAAAAATCAAACGTTCAAATAAAGAACTTCAAAAGACCTTTCTAACAAGCTATCACTCGATACCCCTTGTCATTTAAAATTTTTAAGGGTACGACCCTGGGGGCAGAGAGTGAAAGGGGGTGAAGTAGTTTTTGGTCAAAAAGTTGTATCCCTTGACAAATCTTTTGACTTGCCTCGGCGCTGTTTCTCTAAATCGGTAATTTTCGATAAATCCGTGGTGGGAGGTTTTCAAATGAACAGTATCTTACATTGAATTACAATAATAAACTAATTAGTCTGTGTAAAACTCACCATAAACCCAGGCGGATACTGCGGAAAAGGCCCTATGTCCCTGGTGGCGACATGGCTGGGCAAGTCTGCGCGTCCCTTCCTAAACTTCTTCCTGCGAAGGCGCTGTTTCTCTCGTATAAGTAACGCGGCCTGCATGCCTGCGGCCGCAGCTGTGCTCATACAGCAACTACTTGCTCATAATCACTCCTCATTCCCACCAAATTTACACTACGTCACTCACTACCACCAAAGTAGTCCACTCAAATGTTCTTTTTCGATTGATTTTCACCTTTTGAGATTCTTACCTTTTCAGACTCGCACTTTATGCTACACTTTTGTGGAGCCTACACTCATCCGCATCAATGAAGTCGGTTTTGAGCACGCTTTCCTATTCAATACTTGTTTTGCAATGATGACCCTCAAGTTGGTTATATCTCATCTGACATGCCCTTTATAAGATAGCGATTTTCACTTTCTGTTTTGCATCTAAATTAAGCTATCTTTTCAGATTAGATGTTGTCTGGCACGTCTTGTACTTGTTCAGAATACCTCTCTTCCATCAATGCTATGTTGAAGTTACATTTACTCAATAAGTGGGTTACTACTCATCACTAGGAATTTCCTATATCTTGTGCGCATTTTCACACCTACAATCCTGTTTACTTGTACTGTTTGATAATTCCGGTGACTCAAGGTACCGTACTTAAATGATTCCGCAAAGTACAGGAATCTTTATCTTCATTCCAGTATTCCGTCAGTTTATCGACTTTTTTTATGTGCAATTACAAAAATCGCACATCAAAATTATTTTGTTTAGCTTTTGTTTAATTTCAAGTTATCTTCTGATTCCACACATCTACTATTCAAAGTTTCAGGTTTCGTCTTTCAATTCTTATATATTTGTCTTGTTCGTTCTTGACCGATCTACCATTCAGTTTGGTTACGCATTATAGGATTCACCAGCTTATATATTACTAGCAGAAACTAAACTCACCCTATTAAATAGACCATCAGGTTTTTCAAATAGACATTACTCATTTGGATAACTCCATTTGTCAGGTATATCCACTAGCCTTTGCTTCCTTACTACAAGAAGCTATGCAACGCTTCTGGGATACTTTATTACGGTTATAGTCAGTAGCAGATGACTGAAGCATTTTCGTTGGTTACTGTACTGTTTTTCATCAGACATATTTTCTACATCACATTACATTTTAGCGAAAATATAGAGTACAGTTGTGTATAGAGATAGAAGGCATACATTTATAAAAATACATGTATAGATATAGGTATACTTTTGCAGATAATATAGGATATTAAGCTTCTTTGATCCAGCTAAGCGGCAGTCGAAGCTCAAGAAAAATAGTAGACATATATTGTATAAGGCAATAAGCTGTAAATATATAATGTTTGATATGTTATTTCAAGTAAATGGCCCCTTAGTTATCATCTACTTGCAAGCCTGTAGTTTCATGTTGTTCCCTTCAAGTCCAAATATTATTCTTATCCAGGATCAAATCTGTTTCTCACTAATTTCATTGTAGAATAATCTATCACTGATCTTCTACTGCGAATTTCATGATGTTTCTAGACGCAGTCCACTCAAACCTTTCCACTGTTCATATTTCACTCCACAAAACCTGTTGTAGAAATTGTTGCTCGGTTAGATTTCATATGTTGAACATATTTTGTGGTTATGGAATTACTGGTTTGACCTACAGGTACTGAGATCATCAGCGAAAGATCTAGGACTAAATGTGTAATGGCTTTGATAAGAAACATTTAAGTAACTTTATGCAATCAGACTCACATGAAAAATAACAAAATAGCAAATCATAAGGTATGCTCAACAACGTTTAAATGCTGAAATACTATAATACCACTGCAACATCTGATATGTATCCTGTAGCCGACAGAACACCATTCTCCTCTGGCCAAAGGAAACCTTATTTGACAAAATTCCCCTTTTCTGATGTTTCGGCCACCATAATGGCCTTTCTTGAAGTAGTTGTGGTCTAAACATCAGTAAAGAGTAATTTCAGCATATTATGTGGTTTCATATGGGGACACATTACGTTCTATTGATAATCTGTTTGACAAACTATGCACATCTGTCTCATGTCTGTTGGCAATCGCTAGCACGGTCTTGGTATAACTCTAATAGAGGTTGTGTAGTTATTTTTTAGTTCGTTGTCACATGGACGTGGTTGCCCGGATGGACTAAAGCAGTGTTTGTCATTTAACAAGATATATTCAAGTTTTTTATAACTGTCATGGTATATGTACTTGTCTTTATGTTTCATCTTCTCTGCACCGCATAACGGCAGCTGTATGTTTGTATCTTGGTTAGAGAGAGGGAGAGAGAGAGAGAGAGAAATAGTGAGAGAGAGTTACACAAGTTCCAAAGAAGGGTATAACCATTTATCTCGTTAACTAGAGACAAACAACAATTGACAATCCTCCCCAGATAAGACGGTTATCTGCAAGAATCATCACCTATAGAGGCTTTTAAGAAACATGTAATTAGCTAGAGCTTCTAGCAGATCGGCAAGGTAGCCTTAATTGGAAAGACGATATCGCAGTGGGAGTTACAGTAATTAGTTGCCATTTCTCCAAGCTCAATTGACGTCTGCTCCCGACATATGTGTTCACTAAGACGACATGCGTGGGCTTTAGAGCCAATCAAGGCCACACTTTATACGGCGATTCCGAGCAGGCGTACTACTGATTAGGAATTTTGGTTAATGAATACGAGGAGTGAAGTGCATGCAAGCACAGGTTACATATAGGTACATGAAGTCACTGATCCTAATATATGTTGTTGTGTTTATGAGTAAGTCAGGTGTAGCCTAAATCAGGCAAAAAAGCGTATTTAGGTAACTAACATGATGCCGCTTAAAAGGTTTCGAAATTCAAGGTACGAGTACTTCTAAGGGAGACAGAGATTTCCCAAAATTGTTTTAATTATCTCCTGACCTTTTCTGTGGTGCGGTTTGCATAAAAAAATGCATAATAACATTGCCACTTTGTCTCCTCTAGAAGACGGCTTAATTAGAATTTCCATACGGCGTTTCGCCTATTGTCCATTATTTATTTTTTATTGAGGGTGCCAAATTGGATTTTTGCACAGTTTTTAATCCTGTTTCCAAAAATGTACGATATATCATACAATGACATTGCCAAAACATTAGTCACTTCAAGAAAAAAAAAACAGAATGTCCTTGCTAGGCATTGAAATTATGATATAGTCATTTGTTTCAGATTCATCCCCAAATCAATTTTATCTTTTCCTGACTTTACTTGAGATGAGATTTCTCCTTTAAAAGATGGCGTAGTCAAAATTTCAATTTGAGGTATTTATTTCGATTTATATCACCAACTTTGTTCTTTCATATGGAAGCTATATTGGAATTTTGCACATTTAAGTGGAGTGTTCAGTTCTAAATTCAATCTCTTACCCTTTCCGAGATCCCAATGAGAGTGGAATATGAAAGAGACCCAGTATATAAATAGAGAATCATGCCATCATAAGCAAATTGTCTATGTTATTTGTCTGAAACATACTGCATTTATGACGTTTGGAGAACTTAATCTTCCGTACAATACGATGACTAAGTTCACTAGCGGCTGCAGCCAAACCCCAACAGTTTCCTTCCGTCTTCGCTGCGCTTGACGCGGGTTAACGGCAAATACAAAGAAGTGTGTGAAGTATGTTTAATAGGTGCCTAGAAATATCGGGTCAGAAGTGTATAAATATACCAATGTAAAATTGAGATATTTATACAAGAAAAACGAAAATGAGAAGAAGTCTCTGAAACTCCACAAAACGAACTTTTATTTATTTCGTCTTTTGTCTTTAGGTCCGCCATAATTGAAGTGATTTTATCAACACGTACCTTTGCGTCAAAAATTTATAAAAATCTGAGCGATGCTTTCCGTATTACAGATGGGTCAAGGATAGGCAGGCAGATCGACAGATTTTATGCGTTTACAACACCCGCCAGTTGATGTGATAAGCAAAAGGATTGAAGACCGGTCTCAACAATGTAGGCAGCTTCTTTATATTTAAGGGGGGCCAAAGAATAAATTCATGATTCTTAAGTTTAAAATGATTATATGCAAGCTGTCTCAAACTAGCTGATTTTGCCTATTATTGCTATCAAGAGGACTACTTGATGGTTACGTTAAACTGCCAGCTTAGAAGAAAATTTGCATTAGGAGAATACGTCTGTCTTTTCAGTCAAACCATATGTTCAATTTTACATCCACCACATCGACTAACACCTTTGAAAACAACTCATGGAATAATTTTACTGAGGGGTTATTTGGTCACACAGGCAAGGTCAACCAAGACCATAAACCAGCTTATTTTTGTCATGCGACCTACAGCGTATATCGACCACTAGCGGTAAAATATGGGTTAAAAAAGCGCATTCCGTTACACCCCATATGTACAGGGTATTTCAATAACCTTTTTAAATCTTCGGTCGTCATCGCGCCTCGTAATGATAATTAAAATTAATAAGTTGATAAGATGACAGATCTTTCAATTTCAATTAAATGCATCATTATTTATTGGTCAGATCATGATGTGTGGTGACTAGATCAATGATAACAAATCATTTAACGATATGGTCAACTAAACGCGCGGCTACTTCATGAAATAGTCAATCATCTAATCGTAAGATTTTGAAATTAATTACAGATAGAGGCGCTGGCAGCGCTCTCTTTATATTTCAAGAAAGCAGTCGTTAATAACGAAGTTGTTTTTTGAAGTGAACATTCTAACTCGTTACCGAACTGTAATACTTTACGACAAAAAGGTACTCAAGTTTCGCAAGTACCGATAAAAATATTAAAAAACCGTGTAGTTCTGAACGCATTTCACAGGTTAGAACTTCACATTATCATACATTTATTTGAAGTTAAAATCGTGATCCTGTTTACGTATGCAAAACTTATCCTAAGTTTAATTTCATTTTTAGGATACACGTCAAATAAAGCAGAATAGGACCACGTGATGTGATAACTTATATTGTGATATCTGATAAAAAAATTCTTTGTGACAGGTTGTGCAATTTAAGGATGTTTTAATATAATTTTCTTAAAGTTATGAGTTTTAGTTCAAATGGTTGTCTTACTTATAGAACAATAAACAAATTCGTAACATAAATTCTGAATCTCTACTTACTACTAGCTGACCCGACAGTCGTTGCCCTGTATTAGCTATGAACTGGGATGAATAATGATAATATAGGTAATTATATAGCAGAGAGTTTGTACCGCCATGTGGCTAGCAAAATACATTGGCAGTCATTTGAAAGTACTTGTGCTGCTGGATATGAGTTAAAAAATGTATAGAATCTGACACGTTTCTGGAAACCAATTAATGAAGTGGCTCTGGTGGTGGTACAAATGTTGTCAATTTAATCTTTCCACTGACGTAACATAATCTAGGGGTTTTATTTTTAGACTTGAAAGTTTTGCAATGTGGACTTACAACGTTCATTGGCCATTTCATGATATGGTCAATTACACGATATGACCGCGACATTTACTCCGTGAGTAGCCAACCACTGGACTGCGCTATTCCCTGCGTTGATACCACTCTCTGCTAAGAGATGGTTGCTCTCTGATTATTAGGGTATCCGTAACATTGAATATTTTAACCTCAAGTTACACTTAATAGATTTGTTTGTTGTTAACGTTGATTTATTCATTCATTACTTATAGGTCTTTGTGCTTCTCGCACAGTCAAACCATAGACGCTGATTTTTACTTAACTTAATCGATATGAAATGCACTTGAATGACATCACCACTACATCCATGGCTCGGAATATTATTTCCGATAGCGGGATTCGAACTCGCGGCCCGTCTAGCTAAAGTATCAGTAGCTTGACACTGATACACCAGGCGACCCAGCCCCGTTGTTAAAGATTAGCTTATTTAACGTCAGTCATTGATGTGTGATAAATGTCAAACACATTTAACATTATCGTATACGTATTATCTATCTATGTGACATTTGTGACTAAAAACTCTCTTATACACATAAATGAAAAAAAAAATACCTATGAAAACTTGTACGTTCAATTCCTAAAATAATAATGTAGTTTCAGTTACGGAGAAATACAAGGTGACTCCAAAACAATGGCAATATTTTTATATCACGGGAAGTTCCTTTAATAATAATAATATATTTTTTTATAATATCAATGATTTATTTTTCTAGAAATACAGATTTGTATAATTGTTGCCAGTACAGGAGCAATAATGACAAATTAAAGCACTGCCATAGGTTCTTGGACGCCTTGTTGCTGAATTAGGACAGAATATAGATTAATAGTATTTTTCTATGATCCAGAATTCAAAAATTGCTTTAACGAACACATTTGTCTATTTAATATGAAAAATTAATTTTAGTTTGCTTTATAAACTATGGTCCAAAAATGTTTCCTTACAAAAACTCGGGCTGTTGAAGTTTTAGGAAAAAGTGGAAATTAATTAATATTCTTAGAACCGCTTCAGATATTTCACTGATATTTGGAACATAGTAAAAAGTAATGAAGCTGCATATTTTTCAATGCCAAAATAATTTCTAGCTTTAACAGTGGCGTGCGTACGGGTATTTACTTCGATATTTTTCAAGAAAAAAATGGTGCGCCAATGGTTTTCTGCCAAATAAAAACTATTTTTGAATTCCCCGTTTGATTTTGAACAAATGATCTCTCTTGAATTGTTTTGATGCGCCATTTTTGAGTAAAAAAATAAAAACCGTTCTATTGTCCGAGAAAATTAATGTAATAATTGAAGAATGCAATTTAGCAATAAATATCTAGTTGGTGAGCAAGCCAGGCGGATTTATCACCAGAGATATCCCGATCGTGGTTTACCAGATAGTCGAACCTTTTCTAATATTCATCGTCGTCTTGTTGAAACTGGTTCTGTCCGAAAAAGAATATCTGAAGGTAGACGTGTGAGTGTGAGAATACCTAAAATTGCGGAAGCAGTGCTGCACGAAGTCAAAAAACATCCTGAAACGACTACGAGGAAGATCGCTAGACACTTAAATATTTGCCATCAAATTGTTTGGAGAATTTTAGTGGATTTTTTGTTATATCCTTACCATATTTCAAGAGTACAGGCATTACTTCCCATTGATTTTCCCAGGCGTGTGACCTTTTGTCAGTGGTGTCTTCCAAAAATTACACAAAATCCGCAATTTGAATCAATGATTCAGTTTATGGACGAAGCTAATTTTTGGCAACCTCTTTATTGACCCATTATTCTTGCCGGGACGACTTGACAGTTGCCTTTGCAGCTTAATGATGTTCCGTTAGTAATAAGAAAGAATATGTGGTACATGCGCGCAAGCGCATTTCAGTGTAGCGGTTCGTAATTATTTACAAACTGCTCACACAAATCGTTGGATTGGCCGCGGTGGGCCCCAAGAATGGCCACCAAGGTCCCCAGACCTCAACCGTTTAGATTTCTAGATCTTAAGACACTAGTGTACACAAGTCCCATTAACACTGTAGAGGGATTAAGAGAAAGAATAGTTGAAGCTTGTGATAGAATAAAAAACACTCCAGGGATATTTCAACGAGTGCGCAACTCCATAAGAAGGAGGGCGGAAGCATGCATACTAAGTGAAGGGGGCCATTTTCAACCATTTTTGTAATCATTTCGTTGGTTTTAGTGTTATGTTTATGTTGTCAGTTGTTGTTGCTCATTACCCCTAATGTGTTTAATTTCTCCAATTAAATTAATAATAATTTTGCAAGTTATACAATTGAACGGTGTTTATTTTTTACTCAAAAAGCGCATCAAAGGAAAGCAACTCACGAGAGATCATTTGTTTTAAATTGAACGGGGAATAAAAAAAAAATATTTATTTGGAAAAAAAACTGTTGGTGTACTATTTTTTTGTTAAAAAATATCGCAGTCAATACCCGTACGCACGCCACTTTTAAAGCTGAAAATTATTTTTGCACAGAAAAATATGCAACTTTATTAACTTTCACTACGTGCTAAATATCAGTGAAATATCTGAAGCGGTTCTGATAATATTAATTCATTCCCATTAGTTTTCCTACAACTTCAACACCCCGAGATTTTTTAAGGAAACATTTTTGGACCATAGTTTATAAATTAAACTAACATTAATTTTACATGTAGGTTCACACCCTTGAATATTTGCATATCATTAAGGAACACCCTGTATATCTTTATCCGTTTCGTAAATACCTACCACTTATTTTCGATTCAGTGAAAATTAACTATTTCTCCAAGATCGGCTGATCACCCTATACACAAAACACCCAGAAATATCATAGTATGCTTTTTAGCACACGCCCCTGCAGTCACCTGAAATGCCATGTCAGAAAGAATTGATGAATCGGGGTAGCATAGAGGTTTTCGGGAATGGAAAGCCTCCATTCCCCATTTTTGTGTTATACGCCCTCCACTATCGCGAGGGTGGGAGTTTGAATGTGCAGGCATGTTTATGTAATCAATGATTGAGTTCTGGTCAGAGGTTTAAAAGGTTCCTATAGAAAGAATTTGCGAGAGGAACTCTTTGTACAGTTTGTCTGGTATTTACATGGCGTAGAGCCAAAGTGGAAATTTTTCTTCAATAATTTGTTAGTCGAGTGATTTGGAACTTTGACTGTCTAGAATGTAACATATATAATCTGGTAGAAATAAAATGTGATGGTGATTATTTCATCGTGCTCTGGTACCGGAGTACATATTTTCGAAAATGTCATACATTATCGATATATAATTCCTTTTCTCTTTAATCCAGCGGTTACTAAGTGTGGTTATATGCTAACATGGATGCTCCAGCTAAGGTGCAGAACTTGAAAATAAGGAATATATTTCTCTCGAAAGGGTCAGCCTCATCATGTGTACAAGTTTCAAAAATGATTGAATGCACGAACTGATATACAAAAACAGAACCGTCATTTGGGGTGGAATTGATCGAAAATTAGTTGTTTTCCCATATTTTTCTCGGGTTATTAGGAACAATCTTTTAGAAGAAGTGTGAGTATATAGAAAATGCTTA